TATCAAAATACCATGGACTTTCTTCAGAGAGTTAGAACAAATAATTTTAAGATTTGTATGGAATCAGAAAAGACCCCGAATAGCCAGGGGAATATTAAAAAAGAAAACCATAGCTGGGAGCATCACAATGCCAGATTTCAGGTTGTACTACAAAGCTGTTGTCATCAAGACAGTGTGGTACTGGCACAAAAACAGACACATCGATCAATGGAACAGAATAGAGAATCCAGAAGTGGACCCTCAATTTTATGGCCAACTAATATTCGACAAAGGAGGAAAGACTATGCACTGGAAAAAAGACAGTCTCTTCAATAAATGGTGTTGGGAAAATTGGACATCCACATGCAGAAGAATGAAACTAGACCACTCTCTTACACCATGCACAAAGATAAACTCAAAATGGATGAAAGATCTAAATGTGAGACAAGACTCCATCAAAATCCTAGAGGAAACACAGGCAACACCCTTTTTGAACTTGGCCACAGTAACTTCTTGCAAGATACATCCACGAAAGCAAAAGAAACAAAAGCAAAAATGAACTATTGGGACTTCATCAAGATCAGAAGCTTTTGCACAGCAAAGGATACAGTCAACAAAACTCAAAGACAACCTACAGAATGGGAGAAGATATTTGCAAATAACATATCAGATAAAGGGCTACTTTCCAAAATCTATAAAGAACTTATTCAACTCAACAGCAAAGAAACAAACAATCCAATCATGAAATGGGCAAAGGACATGAAGAGAAATCTCACAGAGGAAGACATAGACGTGGCCAACATGCACATGAGAAAATGCTCTGCATCACTTGCCATCAGGGAAATACAAATCAAAACCACAATGAGATCCCACCTCACACCAGTGAGAATGAGGAAAATTAACAAGGCAGGAAACAACAAATGTTGGAGAGGATGCGGAGAAAAGGGAACCCTCTTACACTGTTGGTGGGAATGTGAACTGGTGCAGCCACTCTGGAAAACTGTGTGGAGGTTCCTCAAAGAGTTAAAAATAGACCTGCCATATGACCCAGCAATTGCACTGTTAGGGATTTACCCCAAAGATTCAGATGCAGTGAAACGCAGGGACACCTGCACCTCGATGTTTCTAACAGCCATGTCCACAATAGCCAAACTGTGGAAGGAGCCTCGGTGTCCATCGAAAGATGAATGGATAAAGAAGATGTGGTTTATGTACACAATGGAATATTCCTCAGCCATTAGAAACGACAAATACCCACCATTTGCTTCAACGTGGATGGAACTGGAGGGTAGTATGCTGAGTGAAGTAAGTCAATCGGAGAAAGACAAACAGGTTATGTTCTCATTCATTTGGGGAATATGAATAATAGTGAAAGGGAATATAAGGGAAGGGAGAAGAAATGTGTGGGAAATATCAGAAAGGGACACAGAACATAAAGACTCCTAACTCTGGGAAATGAACTAGGGGTGGTGGAGGGGGAGGAGGGCGGGGGGTGGGGGTGAATGGGTGATGGGCACTGAGGGGGACACTTGACGGGATGAGCACTGGGTGTTATTCTGTATGTTGGTAAATTGAACACCAATAAAAATTAATTTATTAAAAAAAATAAAAAAATAAAAAAAAAACAATCCAATCATGAAATGGGCAAAAGACATGAACAGACATTTCACAGAGGAAGACATAGACATGGCCAACAAGCACATGAGAAAATGCTTCGCATCACTGGCCATCAGGGAAATACAAATCAAAACCACAATGAGATACCACCTCACACCAGTGAGAATGGGGAAAATTAACAAGACAGGAAACAACAAATATTGGAGAGGATGTGGAGAAAGGGGAAGCCTCTTGCACTGTTGGTGGGAATGTGAACTGGTGCAGCCACTCTGGAAAACTATGTGGAGATTTCTCAAAGAGTTAAAAATAGATCTGCCCTATGACCCAGCAATTGCACTGCTGGGGATTTACCCCAAAGATACAGATGCAGTGAAACGCCGGGACACCTGCACCCCAATGTTTCTAGCAGCAATGTCCACAATGACCAAACTGTGGAAGGAGCCTCGGTGTCCATCGAAAGATGAATGGATAAAGAAGATGTGGTCTATGTATACAATGGAATATTACTCAGCCATTAGAAATGACAAATACCCACCATTTGCTTCGACAAATGGATGGACCTGGAGGGTATTATGCAGAGTGAAATAAGTCAATCGGAGTAGGACAAACATTATATGGTCTCATTCATTTGGGGAATATAAAAATTAGTGAAAAGGAATAAAGGGAAATGAGAGAAAATGCGTAAAAGTATCAGTGAAGGTAACAAAACATAGAGATACCTAACTCTGGGAAATGAACAAGGGGAGGTGGAGGGGGGTTGGGGTGACTGGGTGATGGGCACTGAGGGGGGCACTTGGCAGGATGAGCACTGGGTGCTATATGTTGGCGAATTGAACTGAAGCAAAAAAAAAATTAAAAAAAAAACATATAAATTCATTGCACTATAGTTTGATGAACCAGTAAATTTTGTCAGCATAACTGTCATTAGCACAGAAAGCTAGATAATTTCAAATATATATGTTTGACTTCATGAACACCTGAAGTGACGGCTCATGTAAGCACATGTTTTGTCCCTAAATTTGCATGAACTTACTTTAAGGTACTAAGTACACTATGTATTTCTGAAGTCTTGTACACTTAAATATAAAGAACTAAATATAGCCACATTCAATTCACATTCCAAAATAATAAACTCCAATTAATTTGCAAAAAAAAAAAAAGAAAGAAAGAGAAAGAAAAGAAAGAAAGAAAGAAAGAAAGAAAGAAAGAAAGAAAGAAAGAAAGAAAGAAAGAAGAAAGAAAGAAAGAAAAAATCTGCCTTGGCATTTATCTTTACCTGATCCTGGCTCAGGTCAAGAAATTGGGATTGAGCCCTGCATCAGGGTCCACCCATGCTCAGTGGGAAATCTGCTTGAGGACTCTTTCTCTCCCTCTTCTTCACTCTCTCCCCTTGCCTGCTAACTCACTTGGGCATACTGTCTCTCTAACAAATAATCTTTTTTTTTTAATTATTTATTTATGATAGTCATACAGAGAGAGAGAGAGGCAGAGACAAGGCAGAGACATAGGCAGAGGGAGAAGCAGGCTCCATGCACCGGGAGCCCAACGTGGGACTCGATCCCGGGTCTCCAGGATCGCACCCTGGGCCAAAGGCAGGCGCCAAACCGCTGCGCCACCCAGGGATCCCTCTAACAAATAATCTTTAAAAGAAAAGAAGGCTAGAAGTGGGGTGGGTAGGATGGGTAAAATAGGTGAACGGAATTAAGAGTCACAAATGTCCAGTTATAAATAAGTCACGAGATTAAAAGTACGGCATTATAAATATAGCTAGTAATGTTGTGTTAACATTCTAAAAGAAAAAGAGAATAAACTAGAGAGAACATTTAACAGATTATGATTTCTTGTAAAGAACCTGAGCCAATCCCCAGGTCCTCTAGTCATTTTGATTGTCTGATGCTCATTCTCTATTAATTCTTCAGGAAGAGTTCATGATAATAGTGTCATCAAATATTGATACCATATCAAGTGTTGATGATAGTTTATACATTTTTTATGTGAGAGTTGCTTTTACTAGATATGAAAATCTTCAGCACACATTTTCCCCTTGAATATCGTAAATATGTTGTCCTACTTTCTATTGGCAAAAAGTCTATCAAAAGTCTAGTGACATTCCCATTTTCTTCTATTTTGCAAATGTAATGATACATTAAAATATGTTAAATTGGGGTATCCGTTATACTTTTGAAGTAATTCACACTATATTTCGTCAAATCTAAGATGACCTCAAATTTAAGAGTAGCATTATTTTCTGTATTGATGAACAAGGAAAAAAATATATTCCAATTTCAGGAATATTAAAATATAAAGAAATGTGGATTGTGGATGAAATTCAAACTACTCATTTTCTATTGCTGTATAACAACAATTTACTATAAACATAGTACTACAATAGAATCTTGAAAGAATGGGACATGGACCAAGTTCCTTTTAATGATTATGTATGAAAGGTACACAACTAGGTTAAGAAACCTGAATAACAGCATAGGTGAGCAGCATGAAGTTTCAGGTATTTGGAAATGTTCTATTTTGAAACGAGAATGAAGAGGCGCAAAGGAAAATGCAGTTTTGCCTGGGCCCTCTCTCGACAGTAGTGAGGAAGAAATTCTAAATTCAAAAAAATTCTAACTATAAAAAAAAAAAGCCATACTTTACAGAAGATGCTATCACACAAAGTATATGCTAATTTTTAAAATCCTACAGACGTTACTTCAAAAGTACAGTTTATTTAAAATGAAAGGTAAATGTCGAGTACTACTAATTCTTGTTCTCTGAGAAAGGGGAAAGAGGACCCAACGGAAAACACGAGGTGAGAAGGTGAAGACTTGATGCGGCAGTGACTGGGTCCGCGACCTTGACCGGGTCGCGCGGGCCGTCCGCGACCTTGACCGGGTCACGCAGGCCGTCCGCGACCTTGACCGGGTCACGCAGGCCGTCCGCAAGTGGAAGCGAACGGGGCCACACTAGCATTCACGGCTCTAAAAATCACGACTCTATTAAATCCGTGACGGTGCCCGGCCTGTAGCAGACGCCCAGAACCATTCGTTAAACGTATATAACGTCTTTCAATGGAATCCCAGGAATCCTGAAAATCTGGAGCTACCTATTAACGTTCGGGGTTTTATTTGTTAAATGAAGGGGCTTCCTCTTCTTGCTATGAAGCCGAAGGATTCTGCTTCGCAATCCCAACACAGCGCTGGGCCCTGGGAGCTCCGTGCTCGGCCACGGAACTAGACACCGCGTCGCGCGTCCCAAGGGCCGCGGCCCCCGGTGACCCCGCACCTGCGCCGCCGGGGCCTAGCTGGCCCCGCCCCCGCCACACCCAAACCGGAAACCGGGGCCCGCCGCGCGCTCCCGGGCCCGCCCCCTCCGGTGACGTCACCACCCGCCCCCTGACCTCGCGGCGCCGCCCCCTTTCCTGCCTGCCGGGAGCCGGCGGCGCGGCGGCGGCGTCTCTGGGAGGCGATGGAGGCGTCCGCGCCGGGGGCCGCCCCTCAGGGGGAAGAGGCGTCCTGCTCTTCGTGGGCGGCTGGCAGGTGAGAGGAGCGGGGCGCGCGCAGAGCGGCGAGGGGCGGCGGGCGGCAGCCGGGCGCCGGCTCTCGGCTGCTCAGGCTCGGGCGGTAGGGAGCGCGCGCGAGGCCGCGGAGCCGGGCCGCACCAGCCCTGGGGGCGCGGGGAGCGCGCGGGGTGGGTGTGGCGCCGGGGGCTCGGGCCGCTGCGGCTGCCGGCTTCGCTGAGGAGAAGGGCCCCTGTTCGGTCTTGGCGGCGCCCTCTCAGCCTCAGTCGGGGTCGGCCATGCTCTCGTCACCGGACGCGTGTGGGGACGGCGCGCGGGTGTAACCGAGCGGATAGAGAGCGCTGGCTCGGTGGAGACTTCGGCCCGCGCCCGGGCGGCTCGGCGCGAGCCCGACACCTTCCCTCCTTTTTTTCGGTAAAAAGAAAAGCTCCGAGAGCGCCGCCGTGCGGGATCCTGCACCGGGATCCTCCTTTGAGAACTATTTACCAGAGGGAACTTGGTAAGGATGAATCAGAGGCGGTCAGGACACCCGGAGGCCTCTGTTGACTACAGTTAAAAAAAAAAAAAAAAAAAAAATCCGGGAAAAAAAAAAAAACCCACGAGTTAGTCGTTCTTATTTCCCAGTCGGTGTTAAGGTTTCTCACGTCTCTTGCACTTCTACAAAATCGGGGAGGTTGGGGGGGGGTGGGGGAGGCGGGAGGATGTTCGTGTGGTTTCTTTTCAGTTATCTCGTAATTAATAAATTGGTTAGTTACATCCTGCCCGCCACCAGGATGCAGTATTCCAAAGATAGAAGTAATGGATATAGGATTTTTGAGCTAATGTGAGACTGTCCGTAAACCTGTAGCTTTTTCGCTGGTTCAGACTGAAGAGATGCTTTTGGTGCCGTGATGATCACTGCCTGCCGAGGCCAACACTGCCACCTTTTACTTGGGGGATATTATGTAATACAAACAGAAACGTCCCTTTATTTAAAGGATTTTTTGATTGCTATGTAGACCTTATTACAAAAATGACTTTTGAAGCATTCCAGTAAGGCAGAATTTTCTCAAAAGTAAGTGCCAGCCATATCATTAAGTGACAAAGCTGGTTAGAATGTAGCTGTTACCATGTTCACCTAAGAGCTTTGCCGGCTAGACTGTTGTCCTCCATGCAAGGAAGACAGCTCGTGGAAGTTGTACCAGGGATAAGAAAACTGTGTGGGAAATTTTCATATTGCATTACTATGCCAAAAACAGGGCATATTTGTGTGTGTGTGTGTGTGTGTGTGTGTGTGTTTATCAGAGAAGTGATCTCCTAAACACACTGGTTTGCTGTGTTTGCTTTCATAATTGCAATCAGAAGTATTTCTAATAATTATCCACGTATCACTTAGCCAGAAGCTGATACTATTTGATGACACCAATCAGTGTTTGGTAAGATAAATGATAACATTTTGATTTGCTCTATTTACAAATGCTTGGGCTAATGTATCAATACCACACTTAGAAAATTGGGTTCCAAAACCTAGATTTCATGCTTTCACATTATTTTTAGAATTGTACAGTTTGATGATTAGAGCTTCCCGGAACCTGGAATGGATTACACTTTTGCCAAGATAATATCGATCTTAGCTGCCACTGTGGCTCAGGCCAAAATGCCCCACCTCTGCTTGGGAACCATTTCTGTTTCCTAATGTTCATCCTGTTTTCATTTTTATTTGTATGCCATGCTGTGAAAAAGTTGAGCTGTGGTAAATGATACATTACTATATCTTATCATGCTAGTATCCTTTAAAAAAAAAAAAAGAAATTATTTCTTTAACGTCTATACCCATCATGGGACTCGAATTCATAACCCTGAAATAGAGTGGCATGCTCTACCAACTGAACCAGCCTGCCTCCCCCCTTTTTTTAATTTTTAAAATTCATTTAACAGATGCTTTTTGAGTGCTTTCTTTATGCCTCCTATAAGAGGCAGAAGACGGTAGAGCATGGTGATCAAGAGCTGGACTGCTTAGGTTCAGATTCCGGCTCTTCTATTTACCTATTCTGGAATGTCTGGCAGGTTATTTAAATTAACTTTTGTGAGCCTCAGTATTTTTCCTCTGTTCAGTGGAGTTGGTAATAGTGCCTATCTCATAAAGTTGTAAGGGTTAATGGAGTTAATACATCTAAAGCACTTAAAACAATGTGTAACACGGTATTTGCTCTTAAATAATGAATGCCAGGTACAGTTTTAGGTATTTGAAACACATTAGTGAATTCTTCACAGATCATACATTCTCTTGGGGAAGGCAGACAATAATTAATGAGGGATGCCTGGGTGGCTCAGTGGTTGAGTGACTCCAGGCGTGATCTCAGAGTCCCGGGATTGAGTCCCCCATCGGGCTGCCTGCATGGAGCCTGCTTCTCCCTCTGCCTATGTCTCTGCCTCTCTGTGTGTGTCTCTCATGAATGGATGAATAAAATTTTTAAAAAAAAAATAAATAATTGGGCAGCCCCGGTGGCATAGAGGTTTGGTGCCGCCTTCTGCCCAGGGCGTGATCCTGGAGACCCGGGATCGAATCCCACATCAGGCTCCCTGCATGCAGGAGCCTGCTTCTCCCTCTGCCTGTTTCTCTCTCTCTTTCTCTCTCTCTCTCTCTCTCTCTCTCTAACATAAAAAATCTTTTTAAAAAATTAAATAAACAATTAATGATAAGTAATTTGAAGAAAATACAGCAGGGTAGTGAGTTAGGGAGTGACCTAAGGAGAAGGGGAGACGTTTCATTGAAAGTGTAATCAGGAGTGGTCTATGTAATACTGTGAGTCTATATTTTAATTGAGACTTTTAATTGATAAAAGAGTCAGCTATTCTGAGATGTAAAAGAGGAACATTTCCAAGCAGAGGGAATAGGAAGTGTAAAAACTGAAGTGATAGCATGCTTGGATTTTTGAGGAACAGCAAGGAGGCCAGTGTGGCTGAAGACAGTAAGAGGGAAAGTAGTGGGAGTTGTGATTGAAGGGGTACACCTAGGCTCTTTGAACATAGTAAGGTGTTTAAATTTTATTCAAAGAGTTACGGAAATTTACTGAAGGATAGTTCGAAGAGTTACGGAAATTTAGTGAAGGATAGTTGTAAGTTGAGGAATAATGTCTGACTGTATTCTAAAAAAAATAGGCTTTAATACAGAGCATGAACTGAAGGGGGAGGGCAATAGTAGCGCTAGAGAGACTAGTTAGGAGGCCTTTGAGGTAGTTAAGATGACATATAATAATGGTTTGGCCTGAGAGTGTACTAGCACACATGGAAAAAATGAAGGAATGGGCTAAGAAGATCTCTAGATTCTGGAACTGAGCAAGTGAATAAATGGTGGTACCAGAAACTGAGTTGGTAAAGACCAGAAAAGTATAGATTAAGCAGGGAGAGTTGAATTCTGTTTTGGGCTTGTTATATTCATGAAACCAATTAAACATCAGAAAAGAGAAATTGTTCTAGCAGATGTGGAAAGTCTGAATGTCAGAAGAGAGATTAAACATGGAGAAATATGTTTAGATATATCATCAGTATGGTAAATTCCATTGAATGAGATTATCTAGAAGAGAGTATATTAAACAAGGTATATGGGGCACTCCAAAAAAATTGCTAAAATACAGATCCATCAGAATGTATGTAAAACAAGATCTGATAACACCTGAGAATAAAACTGTAGGCTGTGATTTTGTAGTATACACAGAGTAGGTGGTCAGTGAATTTAATTCTGACCTATTTTTAAAATTGAAATAAAGGGATGGAAAATTAAGATATATATCTAGTTTGTGAAATTCTCTTTAGTAACATGTATAATTGAATATTAGATTATAGAATGTGAATATTGAATAACCATACTTGCCCTTATAAGTTGTGTTTTATTTTTTCAGTACAAATAAAAATTTGTCCATCATGTCAGCAGAATCTGTGGAGATTGATGATGCATTATACAGGTGAGAACCTTATGGAAACTGAGTTTCCTCATTTATTGTTCAAAGTAATGGAATACTATATTTGAAAATATCATTAGGCCTATGCAGAGTTTTGTAAATATATCCTAAGAGTTCCTCTGAGGTTAAAATTAGAGTTTTCTCTGTTTTTTTTTTTTCTATAGTTTGAAAGCTTGAATAATATTTAAATCTTAGTTGCTTTAGGTTTATGTCATATGACTAAGAATGATTTTGTTACCCACTGTAAAATATTCCTCTCGTTTTTGAGCAGGAGTACATATTTATGTTCTAGATAGTGCAGGGATCTCATGAAAAATGGTCCATTTTGCTTCAATTATACGGTAACATCTAGAAAATATATTTACTTCAGTGTAATCTTGTTAACGTTACATGCTTATACTATATAATGATATCAAAATACTTTTATTAGAATTAAAGATAATTAAAAATACATACATTGCTAGCACTTTTTTTTTTTAAGTTACTGATTTATTTAAGTAATCTCTACACCCAAAGTGGGGCTTGAACTCAGATCAAGAGTCACATACATGTTCTTCCAACTGAACCAGCCAGGTACCCCTATATTGCTATCACTTCTAAGGTGTTCTTTTAATACTTCAAGTTGTTTGTATGGAAAATACTATAATCTCAATTTAAAAGTTTTTGAATGCTTGGGTGGCTCAGCAGTTGAGTGTCTCTGCCTTTGGCTCAGGTCATGGTCCTGGGGTCCTGGGGTCCTGGGATTGAGTCCCATGTCAGGCTCCCTGTAGGGAGCCTGCTTCTCCCTCTGCCTATGTCTCTGCCTCTCTCTGTGTGTCTCATGAATAAATAAAAATCTTAAAAAAAAAAAGTAAATAAAATTTTTAGATTTCTTCTCTATATAATTATGAAAAATATTTTATGTATATAGAGTTTGGAACAATGGGCTATTTTTGAAATCTTTTTTATATTTTTTATGTGGGATTCAGAGTCAATTTTGAGCAGTTTATGAGGAGCTAATATATACCACCTAGTCGGTGGATTTCAGTGTGTTTTGTACTGTACACTTGGAAAAAGAGATAAAAGACTATAAATAAACTTAGCTTTGTTTTATGAAAATTTTTTTTGCCCTAAGGTTTCCTGATTATAAATATACCTTAGAAATCACCTTAAGTTTGGATTCTTAATCTATAATTATGATCTTAACATCCTTTTGATCATATTTTTGGGGTAATAAATGGCAGTTTCTTGGAATAGCATTAGCTAGTTTTATTCATTGTTTACTTACGATCTTTGTAAAACTTTATATCCCTCCAACCTTATAATGGCTGATTAATGAACATAATTTTCAGTAAACTAGAGATTAAGTTTTCCATTTGCAAATTGTGTAAGTAGGCTGCAGTTTGCTTGAGTGAAAAATACAGAATATAGTAGTTTATATATGATCAGGTATTACTGGATCATAAAGTAGTTCTATTTTTAATTTTTTGAGGAACCTCCATACTGTTTTCCATAGGAGCTAGACCACTTTACCTTTTTACCAACAGTGCACATTACATGGGTGATGTGCTATTTCTCCACATTCTTGCCAACAACAGTTGTTATTTTCTGGCATTTTGTTTTTTATAATGGCCATCCATTACAAAAGATTTCATTACTTAGGATGCAGCAGTTAGCATGCCCATCATGTGGTTTCAGTTCCCCTTATTGCCATGTCCCATAGGGATAATGCTGGGCCTAAATGGATTCTTTGCAGATAAAGGGTTTACATCACAGGTGAGATACACTGCATTTGGGGGACCCACCATTGTATGTCAAACAGTAAGCAAGCCTGCTCTTTGTCGTAGAGAATCACCTCATCCCTCAACTTTATATGCTGCAAACAAGACCCTCAAGTAAAGAACAGTCAGGACCGTGCTTGCTAGGCATATCTAGAGAGACATGTAGGAGTGTGAATGACCCATGAAGGAGTGTCTTCCAACATAAATAAATTTTTTTTTCAGTTTTATTGAAGTAGAACTGATATATAATAAACTGTACATATTTAAAGTATACAACTTGACATGTTTTGACATGCATATATGTTAATGAAATCACCACCATAATACACCAAAATGTAGATACTGACAATATCCATCACACCTAGACATTTTCTTTGTGCCCCTTTATAATACCTCCGCCTTTCTCTCTCCACCTGCCATTTCAGGCAACAACTGATGAGTTTTTTGTCACTGTAGAATACTTTGCATTTTCTGGAATTTTATATTAATGGAATGGTACAGTATGTACATATTTGAGGGTGCTGGCTTCTTTCAGCATAATGATTTTGAAATTCATCTATATTGTTTTACCAGTAATTTGTTCCTTTTAACATATGGACATATTACAATTTTTTTAACCATTTAAAAAAAAATTTTTTTATTTAAATTCAATTTAATTTACATATAATGTATTTTTAGTTTCCAAGGTAGAATTCAGTGACTCATCAGTTTCCTTATAGCAATAATGTTTCAGCACCCCAGTTGAAGATTATCTATCCTCATTGAATTCACTGGGTATTGGGACACCTTGGTGGCTCAGCGTTTGAGCATCTGCCTTCAACTCAGGGTATTGATCCTGGAATCCTGAGATCAAGTCCCACATCAGGCTCCCTGTTGGGAGCCCACTTCTCCACTTCTCCCTCTGCCTATGTCTCCACCTCTCTCTCTGAGTCACTCATGAATAAAATAAAATCTGAAAAAAAAAATTTTCCTGGGTGTCTATCTTTGGCAGAATTCAGTAGAGTAAATATCTGTTGATTTATTTTTGGAATCTTCTCTTTTAATCTATGTTTCACTTTACAACAGTGTCACACTGCCTTACTTACTATAGCTCTATCATACATCTTGGAGTCTAGGAGTCTGATTCCTCCAACTTTGATTTTTTTGAAGAGTTGGTTTGGATCTTATATGTCCTTTGAATTTCCACATACATTTTAGAATCAGCTTGTCAATTAAAAAAAATCCTACTGGAATTTTGTTTGAGTTTATGTTGAATCTGTAGTTCAATTTTGGGAATATTGACAATTTAAAAATATTGAATTTTAAGATCCATTAATAAACGTGGTATGTCTGTCAATTCATTTCTTTCTTTAGTCTCTCCTAATAGTGTTATATAATTATCGGTGTGTGATTTTTCCACAGCTTTTATCAACTTTTTCCCTAAGTAATTTTTATTTTTATACTATTATAAATGGTAGTCTTTAAGTTTCAGTTACCAATTATTCATTACTTTTAAATTCAAGCTCAGTTGATTTTTAAATAATTATTCTTATCCAGCAATCTTGCTTCACTTACTTGTTTTAGTAAGTTTTTTTTAGACTCCATAGGATTTTCTACACAGACATATGTGGTTTGAAAATAAAGAAGTTTTACTTCTTCCTTTTCAGTGTAGATATATGCCTTTCATGTCTATGTCTCACCTTATCACACTGATTAGAAGATCCAATACAATGTTAAATGGAAGTGGTAAAGGTGGACAACCTCACTTTGTTCTTGATGTTTGTTGGAAAAACGTATATTCTTCTATGAACATTCATTTAACTGTGTTGCTAGCTGTAGGTTTTTCATAGATGCCCTTTCATAGGTTGAGGAAATTTCCTTCTATTACTAGTTTGCTTAAAGTTTTGTTTTTTGGTGTTTCTTTTTTAAGTCAGAAAAAGATATTGAGTTTGTCAAACACTTCTGCATTCATTGAAGTGATTGTATGCATTTTCATTTTAGTCTTTTAATATAGTGAATTACAAGGATGGCTTTAGATTATTATATGACCCTTGCATTCTGATTCTAGGATAAAACTCATTTGGTCATGATATATGTGTGTGTGTGTGTGTGTGTGTGTGTAGAGAGACAGAGAGCTGATTTTATATATATGATTGTATATATATGCTTGAGAGATGCTGTATTTGGGGGCAAGTAGACCACTATGATGCCTTTCATACTGAACTCAGGGTTCAGCTTTATATATATATAATTCTGTTAAGAATTTTGCATCTGATTACATAAGACTGATGAATCACTGAATTCTACCTCTGAAACTAATAATACTCTATATGTTAATTAATTGAATTTAAATTTAAAAATGTGAAAAAAAGAATTTTTGCATCTGTGTATGTGATGGATTGTTGTGGAGTATTTTTTAATTCAGTGATTTTGTCTTATCAGGGTAATGCTGATCTTACAGGATGAGCTGCGAAATATTTCTTCAAATTTCTAAAAAGTGTGTGTAGAGTTGGTATTATTTCCTCCTTAGATTTTTGGTAGAAATAACAATAGAGTTATCTAGTCTTTGTGGGAAAGTTTTTAACTACAAATTTAACATCTAATAGACATGGTAACATTCAGGTAATATACAGTTGACCCTTAGCATAGGCTTAAATTGCTCAGGTCCACCTATATGTGGATGTTTTTCAATAAATATACTGGAAATTTTTGGAAAATTTGCAATAATTTGAAAAAACACAAACCACACAGCCTAGAAATACCTAAAAATTAACAAAAGGCATGTAAATGTATAAAATCTATGTAGAGACTAGTCTGTTTTATCCATTACTACCACAAAATATACACATGTATTATTAAAAATAGTTTATCAAAACTTATGCACACAAACGGAGTATACATGGTACCATTTGTAGTCAAGAGAAATGTAAAGAAACATAAAAATGCAGTATTAAGTCATAATGGCAAAACTAATATAACACTGTATGTTAACTAATGGGAATTAAAAGAAAAACTTTAAAAATCACAGCTATATAAAATTAACTGTAGTGCCTACTTGTACTAGTGTATTAAATTTGAAGCCACTTCCTGTTGCTATTGTGGTAAACTCAAGTGTTGGCGAGTATCCCCTTAAAATACCAGGGGATGCTACTCGTCTTAGTGTGAGTGGCCTCTCTCTTCAGTAAATTTTGTATTCTAGTAAAATGATTTCACAGTTCTCACCTATTTTTCAATGTGTTTAGTGGAATACTGTAAACCTTGAAT